GTCTTGGTGTCTTGGTGTAAAGGCAAAGTGGCTTTTTGTAGGTCTGGACTTTTTGGGATGAGGTACGTAAAGCTGCCGTGTAAGTGATAAGATAGAGTTTGGAGAAGCCGCTGCAATTGAACACCTAAACGTTAGGTAGATAATTAATTGGAACTCGACCAATGGGAATAGCTAAAGGAATTGAAGCTGACAGGGGTTCAGCTGCGTTTAGTTACGGGCTGGAACTGCATGTGCTAAGTGAGCTGCCCCTCCAAGTAGTACTTGTACAATTTGTTACTCATATGCTTGGCCTGAACCTAAGTACTCAGTACATATATGACCCACCGGGGATAATTGTTCTTCCGTAGCGGCACAATTAGGACAGTTGGATGGAAGTTGGAAGCACAAGCCCAGCCCAGAAACATAGCAATGTTTAGAGCCTGGTCACGAATTAATCCACCGTCACTTTTGGGGCCACGAATTGACTTGTACTTCACGAATTGTCTCTAAAGAATCTCCAGAGTTGGCGTTAAGAGATCAACTTTCAGAGCCTCACAGCTCTCCAATACCCGCTATCACTACATAATTCTCTTCCGACCATCTTTTAAAGCCGCCATCCTAACTGGGCGCATCCCTTCTGCCTATTCATGACACAAGCTTAGGGGCTTCCTGCTGCCTCTACCGTCCTCACAATGCAGGCCTCTTCGGGAATGCTAACAAAGGTGCATACTCCATTGATACGTCCTCAAGTTGGTCGCATACCCTTAAAGCATATACTGACGCACCTTGTTATAGTTCGAGTCCAAGTCCTCGAGAGCGAAAGGTATTGCCTTTCACCCAAAGAGGTTCGAGCATCCCCCCCTTCGCTATATCTTTGACTATCGTCACCGCTATTCGTTGCTAATCCGAGAGCAATTAGACCATGGATCCTCGTATCGCTACACTCGTCGACCATACAGCTGTGGGATTACCGCATGGGAACCCTCATTGATCGTTTCGAAGAGCACGATGGTCCCGTCCGAGGCGTCGATTTCCACAAGACGCAACCTCTCTTCGTTTCCGGTGGCGACGACTACAAGATCAAAGTCTGGTCTTACCAGACGAGAAGATGTCTGTTTACTCTGAATGGTCATTTAGACTATGTACGAACCGTCTTCTTCCACCACGAGCTGCCGTGGATCATATCAGCATCCGACGACCAGACGATCCGAATATGGAACTGGCAAAATCGTTCATTAAGTATGGGTTCCGAAGGAAACCAGGCTTTGCAAATACGTGCTAACAGTTGATCTAGTTTGCACGATGACTGGCCATAATCACTATGTAATGTGCGCCCAATTCCACCCGAAGGACGACCTCGTAGTATCCGCGTCTCTCGATCAGTCCGTTCGCGTCTGGGATATATCTGGCCTACGAAAGAAGCACTCCGCCCCGACGTCTATGTCCTTCGAGGACCAGGTCGCTCGATCGAACGCTCAGCAGACCGACATGTTCGGCAACACCGACGCGATGGTGAAATTCGTACTTGAGGGTCACGACCGAGGTGTAAATTGGGTCGCTTTTCATCCGACGGCGCCGCATATCGTCTCCGCTGGCGATGACCGTCTTATAAAGCTGTGGCGATTTAGCGAGACCAAGGCCTGGGAAGTGGATACCTGCCGTGGACATTTCCAGAATGCTTCCGGTTGCTTGTTCCACCCTCATCAAGATTTAATTCTGTCTTGTGGCGAGGATAAGACGATTCGAGTATGGGATTCTCAGAAGCGTACCGCTGTTCAATCATTTAAACGAGAAAACGACCGATTCTGGGTCATCGCGGCGCACCCTGAGATCAACCTGTTTGCTGCCGGTCACGACAATGGTGTGATGGTGTTCAAACTCGAACGCGAGCGTCCGGCGTCGACTGTTCACCAGAATTCGCTCTTCTTCGTCACGAAAGAAAAGCACGTCCGTTCTTACGATTTCCAAAAGAACGTCGAGAGTCCAACGTTGCTGTCCTTGAAGCGACTCGGTAGCGCTTGGGTTCCTCCTCGCACGCTATCTTACAACCCGGCTGAGCGTTCTGTTCTCATAACATCCCCTGCCGAGGGTGGCAAATATGAACTAATTAACCTCCCTCGAGACGGCTCTGGTGCGTTGGAAGCGACCGACTCCAAGAGCGGATCAGGTAACTCGGCTATTTTTGTAGCTCGAAACCGATTTGCCGTACTCGACACGTCCACGCAGACCATCGACATTAAAGATCTTTCTAATAATACGGCAAGAAGCATTAAACCCCCTCCTGGAACTACCGATATATACTTTGGCGGTACTGGAAACCTGCTCATAATTACTCCTACCGCGGTTCACCTGTACGACATTCAGCAGAAGAAGAGCATTGCCGAGTTGTCAGTGAATGGTGTCAAGTATGTTGTCTGGTCGAACGATGGTCTTCATGCAGCACTTTTGAGCAAACACAACGTCACAATTGTGACGAAGACTCTCGAACAGGTTAGCACTCTACACGAGACCATCAGGATCAAGAGCGCGACTTGGGATGATGCGGGAGTCCTACTATATTCTACCCTGAACCACATCAAGTACACTCTTATGAACGGCGACAACGGTATTGTTAGGACCCTTGACCAGACAGTCTACCTCGTGAGAGTCAAGGGCCGAAACGTATACTGCCTCGACCGCGCCGCTAGGCCTAAGATCCTTCACATCGATCCGACCGAGTATCGCTTCAAGCTGTCGCTAGTAAAGCGCAACTATGAGGAGATGCTTCATATTATACGCACTTCTAGCTTGGTCGGCCAATCTATTATTTCGTACCTCCAGAAGAAAGGATACCCCGAGATCGCTTTGCAATTTGTACAAGACCCAACCACTCGTTTCGAACTTGCCATTGAATGTGGCAACCTTGACGTGGCTGTAGAGATGGCCAAGGAACTAGACCGACCTAAGCTTTGGACGAGGTTAGGCGCCGAGGCATTGGCGCATGGAAACCACCAGGTCGTGGAGATGGCTTACCAGAAGCTCAAGCAGTTCGATAAGCTTTCTTTCCTATATCTCGCAACTGGTGACCATTCGAAACTGGCAAGGATGGCCAAGATTGCCGAGCATCGGGGTGACTTTACCGCGAGATTCCAAAACGCCTTATACCTAGGTGAAGTCGAGGACAGGGTACAGATGTTCAAAGAGATCGACTTATGTGAGTTGCGCCTTTCAATTATTCTTGACGTGGGAGAACTAACAAACTTGCAGACCCTCTGGCGTATATGACAGCCAAAGCACATGGCCTCGAGGAAGAGTGCCAATCAATCCTAGAGGCAGCTGGTATTACTGAAGAGCAATTGACGCTTCCTACCTTTGGCGAGAACCTCGCTCCTCCGAAGCCGATTGTCCCAACGTACAAGGCCAACTGGCCTACAAAGGCGACCTCGCAATCCTTCTTCGAGAAGGCCCTTGCCAGTCAACTGGAAGGCATAACTCTCGAGGAGGAGCCTTCGGCAGCCGGCAATGGACTTCTGGACGAGGTTGTTGACGAAGATACTACTGCTAAGCGAAATGGCGGGTTGGAAGCCGAAGACGACGAGGATGCGGCCGGATGGGATATGGGCGAGGACATCGTTCCCGAAGCTGATAGCGACTTCGTTAACGTTGAGAGCACAGACGCTGGAGGAGCTGGAAGCAGCGAGGCCGACCTGTGGGCTCGCAATTCTCCATTAGCTGCGGATCACATCGCTGCAGGCTCCTTCGAGTCTGCTATGAACCTCCTTAGCAGGCAAGTTGGTGCCGTCAACTTTGCTCCGCTGAAGCCACGTTTCTTGGAGATCTACTCCGCGTCGAGGACCTTCCTCCCCGCGTCTCCTGGGTTACCGCCTCTAGTTAATTATGTTCGCCGGACTTTGGAAGAGACGGATCCTAGGAAAGTTCTGCCTATCATCCCTCGAGATATCGAGCATCTTGCCACTACCGATCTACATAAGGGATATGATGCGATGAAGACGAACAAACTTGAGGAAGGCGTTCAGATCTTCAAGAGTATCCTGCACGCCATGCTCGCAAATGCGGTTGCGAGCGAGAGCGAGGTAGCAGAAGCTAAGAAGCTCATCACTTCGGCAAGCGAATACACCGTCGCCATGTCGATCGAACTCTCACGAAGAAAGCTAGGTCCTCCGGATGCCGTTAACGGCAACCCTGCGCTTCTCAAGCGAAGCCTTGAGCTGTCTGCATACTTTACAATCCCCAAGATCGAGGTCCCCCACCGACAACTTGCTCTTCTCAATGCTATGAACCTAGCGTCTAGGAGCAAGAACTTCAGCTCCGCCTTGAGCTTTGCAAACCGTATCCTGGCAAATGGTGGTGCTCAAAGAATTCTTGAGACCGTAAGTATTTTTGTGTTTCCTATATTGTATGTAACCTAACTAATTCGATTTACAGGCACGAAGGATAAAAGCACAATGCGAGCGCAACCCGCATGACGCGGTAGAGATTGAATACGACCAGTTCGCCGAGTTCGAGATCTGTGCTGCCAGCCACACGCCCATCTACAGCGGTACCCCGTACGAGGAGTGTGCGTTCGACGGATCCAAGTACCATACCAAGTACAAGGGTACCGTCTGCGCAGTCTGCGAGGTGTGCGAGGTCGGAAAGCACGGTAGTGGCCTTAAGTTATTCGTTTAACTAGATAAAAGGGGGTGTCTGATAGTTTAGCCTAGCCTAGCTGCGGAGTAGGTAATGATGAATCTTATGAGTTGTACTCTGTGGACGTGGCCGGAGGAAAAAAAAATCATTGTCGCTGGGACCGGGGCCAGGGGCTAAAATGATTCATATATTTATGTAGAAAGCTGGAACGAGGAGTTGCTTAATCAAATGAAACCTACCTATTCATACGATCGTCGGACCGATGGAAGTAAATAGTGGCTATTGCGTTATTTAGAGAGATGATTGATGCTTCTCGATTCTATGCTATGACGATTGTCATAATAACGGGTACCTTAGGTTAGGTACTCTTGCTCATACGATTAGGAAAAGTAGCGCTTAATTCCTGACGAAGCCTCACATTAATACGTTCATACTAGCTATTGATGCTTAATTTTATGCTTATCCATACAGAGGCCCAAGAACCTCTGATCTGTTCCATAAATGGTTCACCTGGCGTATTTATCTCGCGCTCCTCCCCTACGACGGATATTATTAGGTATATCGGAATTCTCACCCCCCTCGCGTAGTTAGCTAGTCGAGCCTTCACACAGCACTGGAATCTTGACGTTTTTTTTTATTTATTTCCAGGGGCCAGTTCTCATTATGGCCCAGCTTAGCTCATAAGGGGCAGGTAGGTCAACTTTCACTAGCTCTATCTTCGGCTTTAAGATTTGGTTAGGCCAACCTAGACGATGGTCTCGAGCTCGCGGGCGTAGCCGAGGGCGTTCTCGATGACCATGCGGCTGAACTCCTTTTCTTCGCCGGCGTCGGCTTCGGAGGCGACGTTGATGGGCTCGCCGTCGACGGTGGCGGCGGATGTGGGGAAGTAGATGTTACCGTCGCGCACGACCCAGCCGCGGTGGCGCGCGAAGTCGACGACGGCGCCTTCGGAGTCGAGGAATAGGAGGGACTTGGTGCTGCTTAGTGGTAGCGAGGGGTATGCACGCTCGCTGCTGGAGGCGATTTCGGAGCGGATTTGGGATGTTAGGATCTGTGAGCGCGGGGTTAGTTTGTGTCATATGGCTTGATTTGGATGGGGACGGTGGTGGATAAAAGGGAGGGATAGGATGGGGGAAAAGAGTATACGTATATGGGGTAGAGTATATAAGGTATACTATATAAACTTACCTCAGAGAAAACACCATACTCCTCACTTGGCACCTCCCGGCTCTTCAAAGCCTTCCACACACGGTCGTAGCTCCCCTCCATGAGCCATCGCTCCAGGTTGATCGAGTACCCCAGGAAGCGGTCACCCTCGATCTCGCCGGCACCGCTCTCCTTGGCCCTAGTACTCAGAGTCTCGAGTTCAGAGTGGAACTCGGCATAGCGGCCTTGCGTCAGCAGTAACAATAGGTATAGACCGGTCACCTTGTTGCGCTCGCCACCGGCAGCGGTAGCCGGCAGCTCGTAGAAGGGCTGCAGCTGCGATACGTACCGGGTGAAGGCGTCGGGGTTCCGCGCGCGGATGCTGAAGAGGGCGCCCTGCTCGTAGACGTCGCGGGCCAGGACTAGGTTCTGCGGAGACGTACCGGTAGACCCGGGGGCGCCGGGCGTAGCGGCCTTGAGCTGGAGCAGTTGGATCTTGGCTTTGGAGAGGAAGGAGGATGCTTCGGGGTAGGGCAGCCCGGGATTCGAGCGCAGCTGGTTGAGGATCTGCTGGAGTGTTCGTTCGGCCATGTTAGTGCGTTGCGGCGGTGGTGATAATGATGAGGGCGGGAGTATTGGTGAAGATGGCGCTGTGGACGGTAGCGATGAGAGAGCTACGGGGGTGACGGCTTCGCTGGTGGTACCGTTGGGCTGCTGCAGGAGCTTCGTCGGCGTCGCTGGCTCAGATAAGTGCGAATACGACTGTGGAGCTTTCGCAAGCTCGGATCTCCCAATTGGTGTTTTTGAAGGATATTCAGATGAGGCAAATTCAATACGACGGATGGAAAATGGTGGTGTTGTTGCAGTTTGGTCTTGGGGACTTGGTGAAGGTGGATTTATCGGTTTGGTGATGAGGCAAGGCAAGCAACAGGCTGAGAGGCTGACGAAAGAACCTGATCCACTTTGCTTAATGGAGTGACGAGCTCTGCGCCATATGTGGCTGAAGCTTCGAAATGTGCCTGTGGCTGGTGGTGGGTTTGTGGTCCCATTTTTTCTTATTCGTATTTTCATTCTCTCCAAATTCCTTTTTGGTCTCTTATCCCTAAAATATTCAAATATTAATGATATTATCAAGACGACTTACAAGACGCAAATCGACATGTCTTCTATTCTATTAATATGAATTACTTATGATTATGTGTCTCTGTTTACTTGTTCATCTCTTTCTGGGTCTTGTCAGTTGACAACTACCCACTGTCCATTGTCCACGAGGTCCTGGTCACTCACGTATCGGCCACCCTCTATAACTCTTTTCGGACACTTTTTCAATCTTGTCTAAATATTGGTTTATTAGTCGCCAGAGCCGAACGGTGAACGATCAGATCCACATGACACATCAGATACAGTCGTGTTTCATTCCGTCCTGCCAACTGTAGCAAATGGATCTTCTATAGAATTTCCATTGTTCCTGTGCCTTTCCTGTGCCTTTCGAGATTCCAAGTAGGGCAGTAACATGTTTGTGTCAAACTTGTCTATCGTTCTTGGTACTTCTTGATCCAGCTTAGTTTTGTATTCCGTCCCCATAGGATGAAAGAATAAGTTATGTTCATGCATATCATAACTATATAAAAAACCGGATCACGTTATTCCATCGTCTCTCTACTTTCAATCTAGCATTGTCTGCATTAACCCATGCATGTTATGTATAAAGAACCCGGAAGGATCAGCGGGGGATGAGGATTGCTGTCAACTGTTTGTTACTAGTGGATATCCGAGGCTAGGTACATCCTACATTCAGCTGCGGCTACGACTGTGCTGATCCAGAAATAGAAACACAATGAGGCTATGGTGAACTAGCCGCGATATTCTCCATCTGGCTTGCATTACAACATAAAGCATCGTACCGGCCGTGACACCTGCATGGTAACTTTAAGCATTGACGTATAAACTAATAAGGTAAATGCTTTTACCATATCCAGACAATGGAAGGATTGCAGAAGCTTCATTTCGCTCTCGATATCAACTTCCCTAGAGGTACCTAGGAAGCGGGAATCTCGGCTGCCGAAGTTGAAGGGCGAGATCCCTTCATCTCGTTTCGGATGCTGCCGTCTGTTTCCCAACTCCTACTCAGACTGAACCTAAATATGTAAATGTATGCCTGATAGTTGCTAGGGTGAAGATAGTTTAGGATCTAAATTGTAGACACTTAAGAACCAGCTGCTTGGACGTGTGCGACCTTGGCTAACTAACTAATAACTCCCTTACTGCAACTCTTGCTATATATTATGACCTTGATTCCTCGCATACGAATCGGTAGTATTCCACTTTGGCAACAAGGATTACGTAGTCGTTAATTAGACTAATACGATCGCTTTTGCGTATTGGCCAAGATGACGACGGAGGCTCAAGCAGGTAACGCGCGGCCGAGAACACCAACTGCGGATGCGCAGGCCAAAATCGAACAAGGTATGTAAACAGATCCCCTTTTTATCCCTTCCACAACACCTCCCTATCACCACCTACACCACCCACGAGGCCCTGCACGGATATCGATTTAAGATTTGCCGGCTCAATGGACACCAATGGACACTACCGTTGGACCCTTGGATTTTAAGATTCCGGAACCGAACCTTGAAGTAACGATCCGCAATCTGTGATCCGGGACGATCGTGCAGTCATGCAGGAACATATTCGACAAAAAGCCAACTGTTGCTTACATAGGAGGTTGTGATTTCAGAAGACAACTCTTTATACGTTAGAAATACGATCTGACGTATCTGCATTGTCTATCCACTTAGGACCAGTGAATTAACAATAAGCGCCATGTTCGACAATCTGGTGCTTACGTCTGATTTTGGGCGGTTTTTTATTAGAGCGCTCTTTTTATTAATGGTGCCTAACTGGCTTGAATCGGTACCTACAAAAAATACTCTAAACTCGGCACTAAGGGGGCTTAGCAAATTTGTCTAGCCTATCTGGGGAAGTGGCGGTAGGTCCAGACAAATGTACCTGAGCCCCTCAGCGGTGACATTTTCAGTCTTAATCAGAGCGTCTGGACCATCGCGGAGCACTTAAACAACCGTCACCCTTGAGAGTTTTAACGTTATTCAGAATCAATTAATATTTCCCCCTTTTTTATTGTTACTGGGCATGGGAAATTAAAATCAGCGACTTTACCTAAGGCTTACATATTTCCCCGAAGTCCATATGCCATATGGTCGTGGATCCTAGGATATAGGTCTTACTCTTACCCTTCAGCTGGCCAGGTCGGATCCAGAGTTACCAGAGTTACTTTGTTACTTTAGACGCGGAGACTCAAGACGATCAAAGGGTCTTGTACTCCATGTTAAAGAGGGGAGAAACAATTAACAATTACCCATACATAACTCATTACCCATAATCCATTACCCATAACCTATTGCGTACTACGGTCTTTTGGCCGCCACTCGGTCGAAAATAGGAAATAGGAAAATAGGGGACCCCGCCACAACAACGGATTCTTCCTTTACCAGTCAGATCAAAGTACATTTATCATCTTACGCCGGTCTGTAGCCGGATTGGCGTGACCCATACATAGGCCCCAGGAGCGGCAGGCTGACAAGTACATTTTTCTTAAATTTATGCAGGTTCTCTCCAGCCGCAGACAAGCGAAGACGATTTCGAAATGCCTAATTTTGGAGCTACCTTCTATCCAGGGGGTATGGACGACTATTACATGCCCGAGGTCCTAGCCCCATCACCACAAAGGTACGTTTCTAAAGGACTAGTTAATCTAACATTACCTCTAAGATCACATACACTTATCTACACTACCTCTGTCTTTACCTACATCTCTACCTACATCTTTACCTACCTCTTGCTTTACCTACCTCTTGAAACAAGATCCTACTCCCAACCAACAGCATGCAAGACCTCTATCTCTATGCAACATTTCTCTGACCTGATTGTCATCATCTGACTTGATTCAACCTAACCTGACCTGACCTCACCTAACCTTTTCGCACATAATAGGGTAATGCCAGAAGTTCCCGAGAACATGCAGCAAGGCCTCCAACGCATGGAACTAGAAGCTCGATCAGTAGACCCGAGAAATTCATCGTCGCAAGCACCCGGATCCGGTCCGCGACATTCTCGCGAACCGTCCTTGTCCAACGTGCTGAACACCAAAGGTAATAACTTTGGGCAGCAATACCAAGGAGGCACCGATTATAGTCCCGCATCAAATTACAGTCCATTCCAAGAAACTCAGGACCGCGCTCCCCAGTTCGAGAGCGACCTTCGAGATATGCGCGAATTACCTTCTTTTTCGCCTTTCCCCAAGGTCCAAGGGGAGCACATCCCTCCTAGCGATGAAGAGAAAGAGGCGGTATTAGCCGAGAGCCGCCACCATGTCCTCCATTCCAACGATCCTAACATGCAGATTTGCTGGGCCCGCGACGTCCTATCCTATGTCGAGATAGCTGCCGAAGCTGCCCTTCGGGAAGAGGAGGCTACGCGCAACCCCAACGATCGAGAGCTACCAATACGGACGGCAACGCCTAAGATTGAGCACGAGCTGCGGATCGACGCTATTAACATAATTAGCTATCTTGCAGACCAGGGACACCCTGAGGCTTTATTCATCAAGGGCAAGTGGCTAGAATTCGGCAAGTTTGGTAAACGACAAGACAAGAAGGAGGCGTACGCTTGCTACTCAGCCGCCGCAAAGTCAGGATGGGGCCGCGCCGACTATCGAATCGGTATGCTATATGAAAACTCAAATGATATGGATAAAGCTCTGCAGCATTATCAATTTGGCCTATCTACGAATGATTCCGCAGCTTCTTACCGACTAGGCATGATCAACCTCTTAGGTCAACGGGGCCAACCCAAAGACATCCCAAGGGGCTTAGATATGATACATATCGCCGCTGATACGGCTGATGAAGATGCACCTCAAGGTGCCTTTGTGTACGGCATGCTCATCGCGAGAGATCTTCCGGACGTCGCCATCCCCGAAGGTGCTCTACAGTACGACGTTAGTATTGCACGACAATATATCGAAAAGGCTGCCTATCTCGGTTTTGCTAAGGCCCAGCTGAAGATGGGACAGGCTTACGAATTATGTCAACTTGGCTGCGATTTCAATCCGGCTCTATCGCTACATTATTATGGCCTAGCCGCTAGACAGGGCCAACCTGAAGCGTGTCTAGGTGTTAGCAGATGGTTCTTGTTTGGCTACGAAGGGACATTTGCGAAGAACGAAGGGCTCGCGTTCAAGTACGCTCAGCTAGCCGCTAAGGCAAAGCTACCAACTGGAGAGTTTGCCATAGGCTATTACTACGAAATCGGAATATCGGTTGAAAAAGATTTACGAGAAGCCCGAAGGTGGTACGAGTTGGCGGCAGATCATGGTAACAAGGACGCCGTGGACCGATTAGAGAGTCTATCACAATCTAAGACGTTGTCGAAGAAGGACCACGAGACGACGGCGCTAACGCGCATCAAGTCGAAACATGGCTCGCAGAGGGGTCAAAGGCCCGAGCGATTCAAGCAACCGCAGAACCATATGCCGGCGCTATCGGAAGACCAAAATTCGCCCAGGGTATCACCGCACCCCTCCCCCAGAGTACAGAATTTCGACCACACAGATATGCCCGACCCATCCCGACTCGCTATTAGCGGTGGTAACCGACCTCCTGCTTTTACCGTCAACCTCCCGGACCGACCGGCATCGGCAACTCCGTATCCAGAAGACGACAGGCCGCCAGCCTTATCCCTACGACCCAAGTCTGCTGCTGTACCTTACCCCGAAGACGATATGGGTGGAAAGCCGCAACTTGCTCCTCACTATAACCCAGGCATTCGGTCGTCAAACGGGCCTATTGCGGATCGGCCAGGAAGTTCCTTTGGCATTCGTACACAATCTCCTGGTAACGTTGGTATGCGTCCGTCCCATTCAGCAGGCCAGCTGTCTATCCCTCCAGCTGGTATGGATCCTAACCGTGGTCGCCCAGTTTCCGCCGGTTGGGGATCGCCAGGTCAAGGCGGCTACCCCCAGCCCAGCCCTGGAAGGGACCCGAGAGCTCGCCCTATCACAGGGCAATTCGATCAGCGGCCGCCCCCGGCTGGATATGACCCGCGACTTGGTCCTGGCCCTGGCCCCGGCCCTGTCAAGAACCCTGGACCCAACCGACTCACGAAACAGGGGCCTCCGCCCGGACAGTACCCGGCTGGCTATGGTCCGAGGGAGTCATCCCTGCCGAGCCCCCATGCTCCTGCTCCCCGGGCCTCTACTGGTCCTTACGACCATGGCGGTCGGGGTTCAGGCCCTTCATCTCCAACCATGAGTGGTGGCCTTGGGCCTCGCAATAGCTCCATGCCGATGCCTGGAGGATTACCTCAGGGGGGCCCCAGCGGCCAGAGAACACCAAGCGGCGGGCGAGGAAGCGGTGCACCGTTGAAAGACCGTCCTAGTCAGCTAGACTACGGTCGCTCAAGCGCTCCGCCCCAACAGGCTCAGGCTAGACCGCCAGTATCAAGCCCGCCGCCAACATCCGGTACTCCTACCTCCGTAGCGTCCGCGCCAGCGCCCAAACCCACATCTAAGCCTAGTCAAGGGCCTGCTACTTTCGAGGCGATGGGTATTCCTCAGGGAAAGCAGAGCGACGACTGCGTAAGTTTCCGGCTTTTCCCATCTTTTAACCTTTTACCTCGGTCTCATGATTATACTAACTCCATCTCAGGTTGTCATGTAACGGGACAAACATATTGTGTCTGGCATAGATTGGTTGCGGCTTTCTCACTTCTTATCATGATACCACTTTCTGTTGAGATGCCGACGAAATTTCCAACCCCCTTTTTATCAAGACGGCGGATTGTGGGGGAGGCGTGGCTGGGCCAGGCCAAGTTGGGTCAAGCCGCCTGCTAGGTCGATGTAGGATGCCGGCGCCTGAGATTTCTTGCATGGTAGATCATGGCGTTTGCTTTGAGGCGGACCTATAGATGGATAGGTATTTACGCAGTAGGGTCTCTAGTAGGAAATAATCCTTTCTGAAGATGGTTGTATACTGGTTCGTCTGGTGTAAATACAATACCTAATGATGGATCTTGCGTTGTGGATTTGACAATAGACTCATTGCCATTATTTATCTGCAGGATATATCGTGTGTCGTGGATGGTGTGAGAGATGAGATGGGAATAGCTCTGGAAGTGCTCGTGGCCCGACCTAAGGACTTGTTCTCATCGGTACGGATGAGTATGGATGCGGCTGACGAGGCGGATGAGGAGCTACGGTTAAGATATTAGCAATGCTAAGAAGTCGTCTGTTAAGTTACCTAAACCAGGTATTGATTGCATTATTATACCTTCGTCCTAGCAGTCTTGAGGTGATTTCTCAAACTTATCGGCAAATCCAGTGATATTTTAACCAAGATGTTATAATTTCCTCTTATGTCCCTATATACATCTTCCTCTGAAGACTCTCAGCCTCGGGAACACATGGGCACATAATGAAATTGAATGTTTTAGCTAGGCAGATAAGAAACTCTTCAAAGTAAACTTGTAAAAAACAATCCTTTCTGAATTTGATTGTCGTATTAACGCTACCACCCTTCGCTATTGAGATCAGCACCGAACTGTACATCGTAGTATGAGGCCGTAAACCTGACGCCTCGATGACGTCAAGCATCCCGCGATGTATTCAACTTACCTATAAAGATCGACATAACCTTGACCTATCTACCTATGTACCTGTTAGGTATACCTCCCATTCGCACTGAACTGAACTTCCATATATAAAACCCCCCAGCGTTGTCAACTACCCATACTTGAGTCAAGTCTCTCGAATCATCGTTCCATCAAACAGACACAGATATATAATAACTAGTAAGAAAAATCAATCAATCCACAATGTCCCCCGCCCAGATCAAAGACAAGCAAGGCCAGCCCATCCGAGAAGGCGACACGGTGTGGACCAAAGCGCGCGGCGGCCGGCGCGAGGGAAAAGTCTACCGGGTCGTTGAATCCGAGGCCGAGGCGCGGGACGCGGGGGTTAAGAATCCGCCCAAGGTAAGCTTTGCGTCTAATTCGTTATGAATTTGAGAGAAAGAAAGGGGCGGGAGGAAGGGGGTGGGATCAGGCGTGTGGAAGGTCGAAGATGGGAGCTGATGTTTCGCAGGTCCTCTTTAAGGATCAGCACGGCCATCATGTTGCGCATAACCCGGGGACGCTTGAACATAAGTGAAGAAGGCGATGATACGTAGGATTTGGGAGTGTTAGTACTGCAGATAGCGATATACATGAGGCAATGGTTATTCTCATAGATATATTGGCGTTGGGAGTGTCACAATTTCACAGGAGCAGTAGAATCAGGCTTGTACGCTCCCAGTAATAAATGAGTTAAAAATATCCGTCAAACCATACTCTCATTAAGTACTCTCGTAAAGCCTCTCATGATACACTATATCGCCATGCAGCAAGCAAGTCTACGAAGCAACGACGCCACGCCCTAACACCATGCTATTGCAAATTTCACAGGCCAATCCTCCAGCGCCGTTCTATCATGGCAAAACAGCGCCTCGCACATTTCTCTTTCCCCTTCCCTAACAGCCACCTTAATGCGAGATATACTGGAACACGGCCGAAACCTCTTTCTCCCCACACTCCTGTCGCAGCAGCAAATCCTGTATAGGCTTGAGATCCTTATTGATGAAATGATTCCAGGTACTCGTGTCTCCATACAGCAGCGCCGGCGCCTTAATATACTGCCGTCCATCGGGTTTGCACCTCTTGCACTTGAACGTATCGTGAGTGTCACTTCGTGTATCTGGTCTGTACTGGAATAGTTCACGTAGACTGTCTAGCGAGAAGTGGCGCTCTACATCTTCGGCCGAGTCAACGACGCACGACGACAAGGATTGCTTGTGGCTCTGGCGCTGGAAAATTTTCTCCTCGATAGTACCCGTTGCGATGAAGCGGTACACGAAACAGTCCTTCTTTTGCCCGTCACGCCATACACGGGCTAGCGCTTGCTGGTCGGCGGCGGGGTTCCAGTCGGGGTCGAATAGGACGAGGCGGTTGGCGCCGATGAGATTGAGACCGCAACCACCGGCCTTGCTGGATAGCAGGAACACAAATTCGCCGCCGTCCGGGTCGTTGAACTTGTCGACAAGCTTCTGCCGCTTACTGACGTTCATAGTACCATCGAGGCGCAGGTGGCCATATCCGCGGTGCCGGCAGAGTTGCGAGAAGAGGTCAAGGGTCTGCGTGTAGTTACTGATCAGGACGATCTTGTCATTCGTGTCTTGGTGTATACGCGCTAGCATACGGTCAAGCACTTGCATCTTGCCTGAGTACCATGGTTTAATGTCTCGATCGCGGCCGCGTGCATCTTTTGGCGCGTAGTCCTCGGGCCAGAACTTCTCACATCCTGGTAGGTCTTCTGACAAATTAAGTAGATCTGGGTGATTGCAGAGTTTTTTGAGTAGGGTAATTGCCTTGAGGGGTTGACTTCCCTTGCCACGCAAGAGAGCTTGGATATCTGGACTCTTGATGAAGTAGTTATATAAATCTAGTTGGAATGGAGCAAGATTGCAGAATACGACGTGCTCGTATTTGACGGGGAGATACTTGGATAGAATATCATTTGTTCGTCGGATAATGAATTTGTTGACGATACCAAGTAACTCGCCTAGACACTCGTCACCTTTCTTACGATCATGTTCGCTTGCATCAGCATCGCGGCCTCGTAGAATAGGAAGCTCGAATCTCTTTCGGAATTCCAGTCGATTGCCAAGCAAACCGGGATTTGCGAAGCTGATTAGAGAGAAATACTCGGAAAGATCGTTCTGAATAGGTGTACCAGAGAGGATAACTCTTCTTGTGACTTTGAGGTTGTTTAGAGCTGTGAACGTTTGGCTGTCTCCGTTCTTCAATCGATGACCTTCGTCGCACAACATCAGACCGATTTGAGTGTTCTTAAGCTCCTCAACATTCAGCCGAAGCGTCTCGTAGGAAACTATGATGACTGGGCGCGTAACTGCGCGACCGCTTGAAATAGCCCATTGACGAAGCTGTCTAGTTAATTCCTCTTTGGAGGCCTTGCCATCAATCGCGAAAGGGGTGATGGCGTCCGCGCCAAGCCACTTGGTAAGCTCGTTTGCCCAATTGCGGACTAAACTAGATGGACAGGCGACAATAGCCTTTTGTATCGACGTCTTGCCGGCATCGGGAGATTGCTTTAAGAGAGTCCAGAGAAGCGTGATGCATTGAAGCGTCTTTCCGAGACCCATTTCGTCAGCCATAATGCAGCCATTGGCCTTTTCGTCGATCATGCCAGTGACACATCTATACATAAACTTGACACCCTCGATCTGATGTGGTCGTAGCACTTTGGCGAGTCTCGGGTCAATGACGACTGGCACTCTAGGATGCTCATTGTCGACTTTCTTCTTGATGCCTAGAATCTCAGCTAGACTCTTGTGAACTAAGGGTGCATCAAGCTTTTCTTGTGTCGCATCCTTGGCTTCATCGCCTTCCGATTTGCTAGTCTCCTTCGGCTTATCGTCGACGGTCGGGTCGTGGAGCACAATAGCAAACTCGCCGCTTGGATCGTGTAACGGCTTGGCGACAAAAACAGATCCCTGTCTTAAGCCGAGTGTTGGGGGAGGACGATTGGGATTATAGGAACCGTTGTTCTTGTTGATCAGAGGTATGCTAAAAGCTTTTCTAAAGACCTTGTCTTTATCCTTAGGCTGGAAGACGGGGAAGCGGTTGACATCTCGATTTGCCAGAGCTAATCTATCGGCGTTTGTGTAAGGCTTATCTCCCGAGTCATCGCCATCAGCACCTTTATAATCGACCTTCCTCTTTTTCCGAACTGGACGATCGATAGCTGGGGAGCTAAGAGCTGCACCGGGACATCTGAACGGTTTAAATAGCTGGTCCTTCGATTGTTGCGAATGGAGGCGTTTCCCCGGGGTGTTGTTCGGCTTTACCAGCGGAGTAGCGGGTGCACTCGCCCTATATAATATTAGTAGTTGATCAATATGTAGTATTAAAAAAGCATGATTGAATACATTTTCTCCCCCTCACACCCAGCAATTACTCTGCAAGAAGGTGAGATATATTTTGAGGTATACCGTAGCGAATTAGAAATTACGTAATGTATAGGTAGAGTTGGAGTTTGCTACTTGACGGCGACTTATTAGAAATCAATTTAGCATTTTGTTGACTTGAGGCAAGCGCGTCGCGCCTTCTCCGGAACTGGCGGGGAACTGACACCAAATCACGTGGCTAGTCGTCTGCCCCGCATACTGTATTAATTGAATGCTCCATATTTCGATTTCGTTTCAATATGCCTCTTCTTGCAATCATCACAAACAAAATTAACTCTCCTTATGCCAATTCATCCTATACATTCTATGAATATCTTAAGAGTTGTCTTATATTCAAGACTCCTCCCCCAGCCACCTAAGCATAATATCCTATTTAGATGGTTTAATAATCAGCTCCACTATGTATATAAAGTTATCCCCCGCCCCGCGTTGGCGCTTGATTACCTCTCTAGGGTTGGTTGTTCCTCAATAGCGGGGTTTCTATTTGGTATATTCATCTCACTTACTACCTATGTAACCTACTGATCTCACTTGGTAGGCTTATCAAATCCAAGTCCTTAATGCGCCATTATATTTAGTAGAAATCTAACACGACCTGTACTTGTCTTCTCTTACTTTCCGATAAGGACTTTCAAACCCTCTAAGTCCCCATGTCACTCTCCATATACATTAAGTTGTGCATGGCTAGGAGGTGACAAGAGTCAGACAATAGGTTATCGTCTCAAGGACTTACAATTGAAAACTCCAATCCTTATAAGAAACTAGCCGTGGTCTCCTAAGATCAAGTGTTCTGGCTATGTCCGCAGACTTCTGGGCCGGCTATATCAGCGGAGCTGTTGGTATCCTAATCGGAAATCCCCTAGACCTTATTAAGGTGCGGCTGCAAGCGCGCGATGGCATACCAGGTACTCAAACGGTCACATCATATGCCCGGCAGTTCGAAAGCAAGTCTGCTCTACTAGCCGGAACTGCTGCACCTGTACTCGGCTATGGCGCTCTAAACGCTCTCCTCTTCGTCTCGTATAACCGCAGCGAAGCCGCTATAAATACTGCCCTGAATTGCCAGTCAAACCTCTGGACTACGTGGTTCGCTGGTGCCGTTGGTGGCCTAGCGACCTGGGCCGTGAGCACCCCAACTGAGCTGATCAAGTGCCGTGCTCAATTGTCATCGCCTCCAGCGTCGAGCTGGAGCATTGCGAAGCAGGTTTTCAAGACCGAGGGTATCAGGGGGTTATACTTCGGTGGTGTTGTCACAGCGCTGAGAGATAGTATTGGGTATGGATTCTATTTCTGGTCCTACGAACTGAGTAGCAAGTGGGCCGAGTCCAGCCGACAGAACGCCCCCGACTTCTCACAAGATGCAGCAAAGGTCTTGCTTTGTGGTGGTCTGGCTGGCATTGTCACCTGGGTTAGCATATTTCCTCTCGATGTCATCAAGACCAGAGTTCAAGCACAAACTTTTAATGCTACGAAAACGCCACTGCTTAACTGCCCCATGTCAACCCAGAGGCGCCTAGGAGCGATCGAGATTGCCAAAGCCGCATATAAAGAAGAAGGCATGCGAGTGTTCTTTAGAGGGTTAACCGTATGTAGTGTCAGGGCCTTCGTTGTTAACGCGGTTCAATGGGCCGCTTACGAATGGATCATGTTCGAACTTGGTCAGGGAAGGCATAAAAAGCCAAAGCCCATCTAGTCCAGTGGACTTGTTTGCTCACGATATGGGGTTTAGGTTGAGTCTACGATATTTTGATGTCACGGCTGAAACGAGTATATCAAAGTTAGACGAAACTTGGAAGTCAATACAGCAAGTCAATTGTGACTAATTGCAGGTGACTAATTGCAGGGGAACCTATTGGTCCGTTTGAAATCAACGAGTGAATGATAGTAGCGTCTCCGTCACAAAGATTGTGATGCCATAGTAAAGCTCTGGCCGATAAAGCACTCAACCCCAACCTCGCACCCCTGGACTATCAAGTCAAGTGTTCTCCATCCCTCCGAAATTGATCAACCTTTTGTTCCAGACAGCGTCATCTTCATCTTGATCCAGCGCTTAAGGCGTAGGATGGGATGACGTCGTGGGCAAAACTCCTAGTCCTCCTTCTCACTGAGTCTGGCTTCTAGCATGCTGATGTGTTCTTGCAGAACGGCGTTCTCTCTCTCAAGCTTCTCGTTGGCTTGGTTGGAGACATAGAGAGCCCAGTTGCAAGCCGAGAACTCCTGGACGGCTGCTCTGATATCGCTTCGGCATTTTTTCAAATTGTCTCTCATTTCGTCGCACGTTTTCACGATCTCCAGCATGCCAGTAGTGGCAACATTCAGTCCACCAACAACCACACGAAGTTTATCTTGTAGCTCCATGCACTTCTCCCGGTCTGTCTTTTTGACCTTGGCGGGCTTCGCCTCGTCGTCAAACTGGAATTATTCAGCATACGTAACTTTTGAGATAGGTAGAGCAAACGAAGAAAGGAAGGAAACAGAAAAGCTTACCTCGGAGTGTGTACGTTTGCGAGGACCAGCGGGCGACATAGTGTCGGACAAGTTATCAAAGTCCGAATCTGCTTTCGTTAGACCAAGAAGATACCTCTAAGGATCGTGTAGGTTGACTTGCCTTGATTGTCTGGAGGATAGAAGGGCATTTCAGTGGAGAGACGCGAGATCTATGAGTGAAGAGATTCTGGTGTCGACGACGATTCGAGGTTGTAGGTGAGAAGAAAAATGAAGGTGCGACGGCGTTCACGCAAGAAATTTAACTGTGGATGCCTGCGTGAACGCGTGAATGTGAACGTGAATGTGATACGTCTAAAGCTACATTGACCTGTAACTTTCTTATCCTGTTGGGGGATAATCAAGGTACCAGCACAATTAACAATTGAGCTGACATGGACTGCCTAAAAGAAAGGTAGAAAGTACGGGCCTATGTGCAAGAAGATGAAGACGGTCACCCCGCGACGTGATGCTGCGGGTACTAATATGGGAATTTTGATACGTAGGTACCTACTACCTAAGGTATCTATGTATTTATCATGGGATGAATTAGCCAAACAATGTGCAAATCTGACAGCTGGCACATATTCTAGAGAGCTACATTTGTAATATGCTATTTGAGAAGGGCTAATGGGTTATATCATCGCCAGTCCTAGCTAGGGACATATATAACCCACGTATTGTAGTTTTTTAAATTTCAAAAATGTTGACTTGGCTGAGCAGAAGTATGATATTTGAATCGAGTTAATGACTCGAAATATTTAGACACGGTAAGCAAAGTGATAAGTAATATTTGGAGTAGACCAAGCCCTTTAATCTTCACAGGTGCTAGGAGGTGGAATATCTAAACTAATAACTGTTACATGTATTACCGGTAAATATCGTAATAGCAACTCCTTTTTTAATATAATTGGCTTAACTGGTCTTTTATATCACAATATAAGCAACTACCATTTTCAACCTCTTTTGTCTTGAATAGTGAGCTCATTGTATTACATAATTAGTTGAATATCTATATAATGTACTGTATATATTAGATACTATCTGGATTGGGCTCAACTGCCGACATATGTCATCTACATAAGCAGCGCATGAATGAAGTGGCGGTGGCTTATCCCCCAAATGCTTTTCTTATTGGTGACACTAGGAGCTTGAAAAATAAATGCAGACGTATACCCCCAAGGAAGCCTTACTCGGGCTTGCTGGGCATCAATCTGGATGGATACGACTTTGAGATTCCCAATGAAAGCATCTCACTACCCAAATGCAGCGGGATATAAGCCCAAATTTTCCTCGCAAGAGGTTATTCGATATTCTGTTTCTCTTAACCTTGCAAGATTTCTTTCAACATATTGCCTACTGTTTCTCTGGCCATGAAGCCACCCCCTTACCCATGAATTATTGACGCTAAAAGGATTCTCTAGAAAAGAGTACTATATCATTTATAAGTAGAAAAATTGTTACTGAAAGCGCTGTGCAGGCGGGAATGGCGGTTGGACGACTGACGAGTGAAGATCTCGTGTCTTCACTACAAAAAGCGCTTCAGAAATGTGAAAAGCTCCACGGTAGCGAATGTCAATCAACGCCACCGAAGCACATTCCGGACTTCTGGGTCATTGATACTTGGGAAAATTGCCTCGTGCCGGGCGATTCAGTCGATAAATATGTAGCTCTTAGCTACGTATGGCAGTCTCCACTGGATGCCAACAGCCAGGAGCTTACACAAAGGCTGATGCTTCAACGGAACAATTTGGACAATTTTGGAAAACCAGGGTTTCTATCTTCTGAGTCCGGGGTTGCTGAAAGACTACCAAAAGTTATCCGGGACTCGATGGACTTCGTGCAACAATCCGGCGTACGGTACCTTTGGGTTGATTGTCTCTGCATCCCCCAAAACGATGAGACCACCGGTGACAATGTCCTATCGATGAAGGACATATATTCTGGAGCCTATTTCACGATCATAGCAGCTGCGGAATCATCAGGATTATACGGGTCGGGAGCTAATATCGAGGGATTTAAAAATGACAAAGGCGTTCCTGATGCAGGTAGCCTTCATGGGGCACTGCTCACGACACATTGGGCCACACGCGGATGGACGTTCCAGGAACAAATGCTTTCCAAGAGGTCTTTTATTTTTCTTGATGAAACGGCATTCTGGGATTGTCAGGGTGCTGTGTGGTGGTCTGAGTCCTTGATCACCAACCAGGAAACAGGTGTTAGCAAAGTCAGTACGCCAGAGGGGGACAATACGCCTTTAAGATTAATATTTCGAAGCAAAAAAGACCACATGGAAACAAGGACCTATAATAAAAATAGACAATTATCACAAAACCTTGCAGCCCTTTCCACACCCGACTTCAGACTTTACATGGAGTTAATATGTCGGTATAACCATCGCAATCTCACATACGCCCAGGATGCATTACCAGCCATTTCCGGAGTTCTTGATGCCCTGACACGCGGGTTTTTGGGCGGCTTCATTAGTGGACTACCGGCTATTTTCCTCGATTCCGCCCTTCTTTGGCAGCCTCTTGTCAAGGCAAAGAGGCGAGTTTCTTCTGAAGACAAGCCAGAATCGTCCCCGCCGTTACCGTCCTGGTCTTGGGTCGGGTGGCAATGCCTCATTGACCCGGTAAGCCAGGAGAGTGGTCTGGACTACAGGGTCCGAAATTATACTCGACCGCTCTCGGGGTTGACTAGGCCTCCTGTCACGAATTCATGGAGAACTAGGAAGCTTGTTAATTGGATTAGCTCGACCACTGCGGATGACGAGTGTAAGATACTCGAACCGGGGATACTAGAACAATACAAAGGGTTGCGGGATAAGCCTTCTGATGAAAATTTACCCGATGGATGGTCTCATGAAACAAAAGATACATATCCCACTGACCGTATACTTCGGTATGAATTCGAAGAACGGCCAAGAGACTGGTACTCTCATGAGTCGGATCCTACATCTGTCTTTGGCTACCCATTACCCATGACATACATCCCGTCAACTTTCGGAAGTCAAGGGCATAAGCGCTTCCTCTCCTGTACGGCATATACAGCTAATTTCAACGTCCGGCGAATTCTATATCCCCACCAAAGGGTACGGCAATATAGCAAATACCGTGGGGGTCGTTTTCATATCTCTTGTCTAGACACGAAGCTATACAAGAATAACCCCGACATGGAGACGTATTGCCCCGTAATAACCCTCGAAGACAGTCAAGGGCGCTGGGCCGGGTTGCTTAGGGTGATGGATGACAACAAAAGTATCAAGGCCCAGCAAACGGTTGAAGTCATAGCAATCTCGGAGGGCAGTTCCAGCTTCATCGGGGCGGCTGTAGCATACGAAGAGATGGTTGATAGGCTGGGATGTTACCGGTTTGGGAATATTAACAGCGATCACTGCCATTTCGCGTTGACGGGGGGTTTCCGGCGGGTAGATACCTCGGAAGAATCTGACAAAAAAGTAAAGCCTTGCGTGTATCGCAGGCCTAAATCCAAATGTTATAAGAGCATGGAGAAGGAAGCCAACGGGCGGGACCATGGGCCCTTCTTTCTCAAAAACATAAACTGTCATCGCTTCCAGGACGACGAACTACCAAAAGAGTGGGGGCACGAGCGTTATGATTTCTACAACGTGCTCTGGGTCGAAAGGAGAGGCGATTTCATGGAAAGAAAGGCTGTGGGGCGGGTGCCTAAAGCCATCTGGGAGCAGAATCAAGGAGGGCTACAAAGCATCAGACTCGGTTGATGCTCTAGGCTGTATAGCAGGCGAATTCAGGGGTATCTACTAGACCAAACAGCTTCAATCATAGCATCGGTGGGAGTTCATTTACAAAAGCGGAAATAAAATTTGGCAAGATTGGCTTTTTAGGTTAGCTGTACGGCAAGTCTGCGTTCGTGTGTTTTAACTGTAGCTGCTCTTTGCGGTGATGCCTTGCGACTGGAAGATATGGAAACTGTAGTGATGGTATCTACTTCTCCATTGTGCGGTTTAGAAATTCTCATAAATAATGTTGTTAGTATAATAGTCTCATACAGGCTAGGGTAAAATGGACAAGAGACGAGTATTTGATCTGATCGGATATATTACTTGTAGGTTGTAGGTTGTAGTGTTGAAACACACGATGATAATTGAGTGGTACCCAGTCAAGCACGTGGAAGGTGGTTTGAATCACGTGGCCGGATCTCATCTCTTTAGATTTTATGTGGACCCCTGTGCCGGGCAGCCGGGAGTCATTATGTAAAACACCGATGACGTATGTTTCTCATTAGCAGACAAAACTTCCTCTCCTATCTTCTGTAATCACTTTAACTGGAGGAATTTAGGATAGGTTATAGGCATAAGAAGACGGTCCTAAGTTCTAGTCTGGTCGATTATTTCTATTAAAAATAATGGCCGCTTTTCTTCGAGGACGACAGGCAGGCATGCAAAATGACCTGTCTGCTAACATCATCCCAGGCTCTTTCATACCGGACGATCGGGCGCGTTACGGCATTAATTCTCAGATCAGGTACGACATCAATTATTACATCAATTATTACACGGTTTTTCGTCATCATAAAGTCATCCATATCATACTACTATATCTTATACTTCCCGGGGTTAGCTAACTATATTTATCTCACTCATGTAGTTGCATCGCCTATGAGCCTATCCAATCTCTTCTCGCCATTGGAACAAATGAGTCTAAATATGGTAGCGGGAAGATATACGTCTTCGGCCAAAGCCGTGTTCAGAAACTGCTTATTCCATCACGATCATGTTCTTTTTCAGATATCCAATTTACCAATAATCGCTTGGTGAGCCTAGACACCAAGAGCGAGGTTGTCGTATGGGATCTAGATACTGGCAAGAAGATCGTCGGCTTTCGTGTGCCTGGAATTGTCTCTTGTATGATTACCGACCCCGTATTGGATTGGTGTTTTCTAGGCACGCAGACGGGTGATGTACATACATATGATATTGACCGACAACGTATGGCACCGTTTCGAATTCCTAATCTATGGGCCGAAAACGATCCTAGAGCTAGGGCGGTGGCTCTAGTCTCGATGCAGCTGCACCCGCGCGACATAGGTAAGCTGTTAATTGCTTACACGCATGGTGTAGTGGTCTACTCGTTCAAGCAGAACATTCCGACCAAATTCTTTGAGTACCAGGTACCCCCAGGAGCTCCAGGAGGATCAAGTCAGGCTGTCGAATCCATGAGAAAACCAAAGGTTACTCATGCATTATGGCATCCCACGGGAACATTCATACTGACTGCCCATGACGATGGAAGCTTGGTATTCTGGGATCCGAGAGATGGGCGCGTGGTATTGGCGCGGACTCTCTATGACACCAATATCAATCAACCCGTACCAAATCCAGGCTCCTCGAGCCCCAAGCACCCGTACACTCGCATTTCTTGGTGCTGCAAGCAGAATCCAGAAGATAGCGGCTTACTCATCGCAGGCGGCCGGAAGCTGGATGAATCCTCAAATGGTCTAACTTTTATCGACCTTGGAATTACGCCTAATTATGCCACTTCATCGTGGCAGATCCTATCAGATTACCTGAAAGGTAAACACCAGAACACTATACAGACGCCGGCCGGGGTTGGAATTGCAAATTTCTTTTTGATTCCACGCTTGTCCCCTCATTTCTCCGGTGCTCAGGACCCTATTGCTATCATGACTCTACTCTCGTCGGGAGAAATCCTCACCTTGAGTTTCCCGAGTGGTTATCCTATTTCGCCAACAAATCAGCTTCATCCGTCCGTATCATTTGCTCACCCATTCGCGACCAAGTTTGGGATTACTATACTTGATCGAGGGAGGTGGCTTGGAATGGTTGAAAATAGGAACCAGGGTGAGCCGTTGCTGAAAGGAGGTGCCGAGGCACCACGACCACGCCGGCGTTTCGAGGGGCGAACTATCATTCAGGTTGCGCACGCGGATAGCACAGTACGAATTTGGGACGTGGGCCACGGTGATGAGATCGAAAATTCGTCCCAGCTTCAAGTTGATGTCGCCAGAGCACTTGACCGCTATGAGGATGTAGAGATTACGGCCATGACTATGGCTTCTACTACCGGTGAATTTGCTGTTGGTACAAGCAAGGGTGAAGTTGTCATCTACCGATGGGGCGGTAATCCGTATTTTGGGAAACCCCCCGACCAACACATCGAATCAAACCCTGGTGGCATCACTAATATTAGCACGAGAGCCGAACCATCTCTAAAGAGTGGGCTTCAGCCGTTATCATTATACGAAATGATGCAGGGCTCAATCAGCGTTATCAAAGCTTCAGACGCAGGTTTCCTTGCTGTTGGATCCGAGAATGGATTCGTAAGCATCATTGACCTTCGAGGGCCTACGGTCATGTTCCAAGCGCCGATGACAGAGTTTGTTAAACGTGAAAAACGTTCGTCATTTTTTAAAGGCCGGTCTAGCGTGTCGATGGCTAAAGAATGGCCCGTGGTGCTTGAATTTGGTGTCATGACTCTTGATGAGGACAAATATTCCAGCATATGCTGCTTCGTTGGCACAAACCTTGGGAAGGTTGTCACTTTTAAAATACTGCCATCCGGTGCAGGATATACTGCTACACTAGCAGGTGTTGCACACCTAAATGATAAGGTGGTATCTATATGCCCTATCGTCGCGGCGGATGGAAAGCCTGCTCTTGCTACGGGCCAAGCTGTGGCCGGGCTCAGAGAGGGAAAACATGTCAACGGCCTACTTGTAGTTGGTGAGCTAACCAATATAGGGTCATATTCTTACAAATGCTAACACTATTGTAGTCACGCAAAGCGAAGCTCGCATTTTCAAGCCGGCCACGGCTAAAGGAGCCTCGAAATCATTCGACGACTATCTTTGTAATGCCGCTGCGGTGACCGAGTTTGAACTGCATGGAATGGCCTTGGTTGGCGTATTTGGAGACCTGACGACGAGAGCTTTTAGCCTGCCAGGACTCAAGGAACTAGGAAGCTACCCACTCCCTATGATGGATGGTAGTCGATCTAGCGATGCGATAGTGACAGGGGATGGCGATATATTCTGTTGGACAAGTCCATCCGAACTTGCAATTCTTCAGGCGTGGGGTACCGGCTTACCATTAGAGAACACGGCTGATCAACTCATTAATCCTAATCTCGAAATACCTCCGAGGCCGACTATCTCAAATGTGCAATGGATCTCGGGCACACAATATGTCACGCCGGCAGACCTAGACCTTTTGATCGGTGGTCCCGATCGGCCCCCCGGTAAGCGCACGAACGCTTCGACGGCAGCAATCGAGCGAGATCTAGGGGCGGGTCCCAGTTCGGGATCCGGTAGCCAAGAGGGCTGGGGTGATTATCTCACCAGGCAACTGAATGAGCGTACAGAGAAACTAAATCTCATGAACGACAGTCTGGATTCCGCCGCAGATAGTAGCCAAAGATGGGCCGATGATGTTAGTAAGTACGTCGCCCAACAGAAAAGGAAGATGATTTTCGGGAGCGTTGTGGGCAAGTTCTCGTAGATTGCGTGCTTTCTATATCCTAACTTTGCGTTTCGTGCTTGAGATATCAGGTACGCTGGAGTTACGAGAGTAGGCCGGTAAAGGTATTCCCAAAAACATCGGCGACGTGTGGATTTTGAGGATTGATAGCCACTACTGTTATTTTATTGCATCTTATTACAGCATGATAGCTCATCCTAGGAAAATGCCAAGTTGGAGATGCGGCTCACGCCGTTGCAATGTTTCTTTGACTTTATCCTCCGACGGTAGATCTCCTGCATTCTGCCGCAAATGAACGACTCAATCAGGCAATTCAACACTCGGTTTAAGCGAACCGAGAGCGTGTTCTATCTATTTATTTATTTATATATTGTTCCCCTGCGGGACCTTGCATCTCTGGCATATACATGCGGTAATTGGCTCCGTTTATAGAGTCGAATGACGCGATCGCGGGTAGCTCGAGTATGAAATAATAACCCTATCCCCACCTCTACTCTTCCTTGAACCTCGCGATACTTTTCGAGACCCTTGTTGAGGTCTTATAAAGAGAAGGAGAAATTATAAGATAGGCACGATGCGAATCTCAGCGGCGGTTCTTGTCTCCCTAGCTGCCCTCGGCAGTGCTCAGAAGGCCACATTCGAGCTTTCGTACCCCTCGCCGTGGGGAACTGGCGGTCCGGGGTGGGACGAAGCGTACGAGAAGGCCAGGGAGTTCGTCAGCAAGCTTACGATGCTTGAGAAAGTTAATTTGACGACCGGGACTGGTAACCAAGCGGATCTGTGTACGGGGAATACGGGGTCGGTGCCAAGACTCAATTTCCGCCATTTGTGTTTGCAGGATGGACCTGTGGGGGTTCGGTATAGTAAGTTGACAGATATCTCAAGCTGAGGAGGGAATAAAGGCGATGAAAGGGGCGGGAGGAAACATGTTTTATTCGTTGGTCGGGAGAGTATATGTTAACGAAGACTTGATTGTCGCTAGCCGATCTCAACTCCGTGTTCCCGGCGGGCATCAGCGCAGCGGCAACATGGTCGCGATCTTTACTCCGGAAACGGGGCGAGGCGATTGGACAAGAATTCAGCGGTAAAGGTGTTGGTAAGCGCTCATTTCTCTCCCGCCTCACCACTAGAAACTAAATTAATCCCTACCTCCCATCTAGACGTGCACCTAGGTCCCGTAGTCGGCCCTCTAGGTCGGGACCCCGCCGGCGGCCGCAACTTCGAAGCCTTCGGGCCGGACCCGTACCTCGCCGGCGTAGCAGTCGCCGGAACGATCATCGGGGCGCAGAGCGCGGGTGTAGTGGCCAGCGTTAAGCACTACATCCTGAACGAGCAGGAGCACTTCCGCAGCGGCATCAGCTCCAATCTTGATGACAAGACTATGCATGAGGTGTACCTGTGGCCGTTCGCGGACGCTGTACGAGCGGGCGTCGGGAGCGTCATGTGCTCGTATAATCAGATCAATAATAGCTATGCGTGCGAGAACTCGTATGTGTTGAATAAGCTGTTGAAGAATGAGCTTGGGTTTCAGGGGTTCGGTGAGTTGTCTCCTTCTGAGAAGTTTTTACGGGGGATTATAACGGTATCTTGAAGGCTATGGGAATATGTGTGATTAATTGGACCTTGATGTAGTTGTCACCGACTGGGGCGCGCAACACAGCGGCGTCGCCAGCGCACTCGCTGGCTTGGATATGACGATGCCTGGGGAGGGGTTTGGCGCGGGCACGTATGGATCGTACTGGGGCGGCGCTTTGACCGAAGCGGTGCTTAGCGGTGCGGTTCCGCAGTGGCGACTTGACGACATGGTTATTCGTATCATGGCTGCTTTCTACAAGGTAGGACGGGACACAAAACAGGTCGATATTAACTACTCTTCCTGGACGAACGAGACCACTGGCTACCAGTATTGGGCTTCGAAGCAGGGAAATACGACGGTGAACTACCATGTCGACGTGCAGGCCGACCATGGCGAGCTAATCCGCGAGATGGGCGCAAAGGCGACGGTACTGTTTAAGAATGTTGGGAAAGCTTTACCTTTGGTTAAGCCCGAGAGTATTGCAGTAATTGGCGAAGACGCGCAGGATAACCCCGATGGGCCTAATGGTTGCGTGGACCGAATTTGCAATAACGGGACGCTTGCGATGGGCTGGGGCTCGGCGACGGCGGAATACCCCTATTTAATCTCGCCAGCCACTGCGCTTGAGAAGCAGGCGGAGGCTGATGGTACAGCATTCACAAATTTACAGGGGAACTTCGATCTTGATGCTGCCAAAGCGGCCGCAAGTAATGCGTCTGTTGCGATTGTTTTCGCTAATGCTGATTCGGGAGAAGGATATACGACGTTGGACGGTAACTTTGGAGACCGTAATAACCTCACGCTTTGGAAAGGTGGCGACGAACTGATTAAAGCAGTTTCGTCTGTTAACCCTAACACTATAGTTGTTATTCACAGTGTCGGCCCGGTCCTAATCGACCACATCAAAACTAACCCGAACGTGACCGCCATCCTATGGGCCGGTCTCCCGGGCCAGGAATCGGGTAATTCGCTGACGGACGTGCTGTACGGAAAGGTCAACCCGCAGGGCCGAACGCCCTTTACATGGGGCAAGGGGGCGGAAGACTGGGGAGTGTCTATCCTGTTCAACTCCACCTCGATCGAGCCACAGCAAGACTTCGCAGAGGGCCTCTTCATTGATTACCGATACTTTGACCGAGAGGAGATCGAGCCCAGCTTCGAATTCGGCTTCGGACTTAGTTACACCAACTTCACGTACTCGAATTTGAGGACGGTTCATCACGACCCAGGCGTGTATAAACCAGCATATGGAACCACGCCCCCGGCGCCAACGTACGGCGAGTTGGATTTGGACCCGAAGAATGCGGTTACCCCTGAGGGCTTCTCCAAGATACCGAGGTTCATTTATCCGTATATCAATAACGCGACGATCCCAAACGTAACTGCTGAGATTCCTCCGGGAGGCCATAATGCTTCTGCGCAGCCGATCCTGCCAGCGGGAGGTCCGTCGGGTGGAAATCCTGAATTATACGAGCTACTGTACGTGATTAGCGCAGATATCACTAACAGCGGAGAGGTAGCCGGGACTGAGATCCCACAGCTTGTAAGTGATCAACTTCTGTATAGTCTTGTCGAGACTTCCACCTAATACATTTCCTAGTACATCTCGCATGGCGGTCCGACGGAACCGAAGGTTGTGCTCCGCGGTTTTGATGAGATATACATAGAGCCGGGAGAGACGAAGACAGTGGTCTTTAATGTGACGTACCGCGACTTGAGCAACTGGAACTCCGAGGAGGAAGACTGGCGTCTCACAGGGTACCCGAAGATGGCATATGTCGGGGCGAGTTCGAGAGACTTGAGGTTGCAGAAGGCGTTGCCGCTTCTGAGGTGAAGTTTTGAAGTTTTGTAGAGCTCAGTGAATTTTCTTTTCTTTTCTTTTCTTTAGCTGGGCCTTCTGTTAGATAGGAGACACAGCTAAGAATCTTGGACACAATAAACTTCGTATCGTTAACTACTGGATTCTAAATAAACTCCCCTGCTATGTCTAGCATAAAGGCTCGAAAATACACGTAGATACATATTACATTCTCGCTGAAATATTATCGAATTACCTATACATACTATCCTATGATACTACGCTACAGAATAAACGCTGACGGTAAGCATATCGAATCCTCTACGTCTAATAGCCATCCCGTATTCTTTTACGCTTAGAAATTACCTATATCCCAATCCCAAGCTTGAACCTTTTCCTGAGTCTCTGGTAAAGGCTCCTCTTGCGGGGCTGCCTGTATAACCCCCCCATCGCGTGTTAGGTGCGTTACCATGAGTAGGAGGTTCATGTCGATCATGCCGAATTTCTCGTGTGCGGCAATCGTTACCTTTTTGATCCGCGCGTTGTTGAATTCTCTGCTGTATTCCCTAAGCATCTTCTGTTGGCCCTCGAGGAACGGGTTTCCGTTGAAGAGTTTAGACCAGCCGGTACTGTTTGGCTCGCTGCTACGTCTTAGTACTCCTGATGGGCCGTATAGGGGCTATATGGTCGCGGTGAGAGCTATACGAGCTTTTGTACTTACTAGGTAGATATTAACAGTGGTGCATGCGGTTAGATGAGAGACGGAAAGCTGTAGAGAGGAAAAGGGGGTGCGTACCAAATTGATCACCATACTGCCCATATCTGGGAATTGTAGTCCTCTCGCAGCGAACGCGGCCTCGATACAATCGTAGGCTGATGTATTATTAATAAAGCTGACGCCGATCCGTTGAAAAGTAGCCAAGTTCCCTCCTGCAGCCCTATAGTTGTCGACTATTACGTCTCTATGTTTCATTCTCGGCCGTGGCATATTACTCATAGCGACCGAATGGACAACGTAGGCGAAGTTGGGTAGGGATACGCTATACGACGTGACAGTGCGGGCGCCCCATCTGATAAAGAGGGTTTCCCACGTATTCGTATCCGTGGCGTTATCGACTTCCATGTATTCCTGCATCTCGTCTAACCACAAGGGTTCATTACCGAAGGAGTCCCTGGTGAGGTAGTATTGGCCGATGCTTCTCCCGTGTGAAGACGACATGGGTACTTGGAAGCGGCGTGTCGAAGAAGCTAATTGTATGTGACTAGGAGGGAGTATAGTTGAATTGAAGATGTAAGATTGATGCTATACGGATATATTATTCGTAGGTATCTGGATTATTGGAATAGGAACTACAAATGCCAACTGTTTTGAGGTGTGTCGATGACCCGGGGTGAAAGCAAGGTTGGCTGATAATGGCGGCGGTTGGTGTTGCTGCTTAACCAGTACCTACCACATCTTTCGTATGCAATCGTATCTCTACTTCCATATTCAGGACGTAATCATTCTGATGGGCGTCACAGTTTATCCCAACGCGACTTCTGGAATTCGTGAGCAAGAGATAAGCATTTGCCTACCACGGGGTAATTCATAGTAGAATAGCCAGGATGGCTCCTGTAGATCGTATGTAACAGTGCTACGGCAAGGTCAATATTCTATGAATCGTAGACCTTACCAGTTCGTCTTGCCTTAGATCGCACAAGTTCTATTAGGGAGGAAGTAGAACTTATTACGCGGCGACTGCGGATTTGACTTTAGATACCGATATATATGTAGCTGCACAGAAATATATTTGCTTTCCTATTTTATTAAATTCTAGACCGTATCGTAAGGATAATGATTAATAAAATGTAGAGAGGTGGAACGGGTTTATTGGAAAGGGGGCATGCAGTTACAACGTAACCAAAAAAGGGGAATAGCAAAAAAGAAAAGTAAAAAAGAATTGCAAAAAAGCTCGGTCTGGGTGTTGAACCCAGGACCTACGAAAAACTACTTTGTAAATGTCGTACTGTCAAGTCACGGGCATACCGGTCCAGCATATGACACCACGGTGCAGTTTTCTCTAGCCTCCAGTCACCCAGGGTTACTTCCTTTTTGCGGGGTCGGCTGAGGGTTTGCAGTTTATTTCGATATATATGTCTTGTTGCCTAGGTAGGTATGTACTTTGTCGGATGTACCTCGTTGCTTAGAGGCCCGAAGATCGAGCGACAGCGAGGGGGTGACTCGCACTGGCGTGGGTCCGTCAATATTACCGGCCGTGCGACAGGTGTAAGCCTTCGCGATGCTTTGTGGCGTTGAGTTTGCATAGAATTTAAGATAATACCTGGCGAAGCTCAACACTTTACAAACGCTTACCTATGTTATTATTTAATACTTTAACTACTACCTACAGGATTAATTTCATTTAATTTTGTAATCGCTTTTCCAGATTATTCAGGCTAATCTAGGTCAAATATCGTATCATTTGCAGCGGTGAGTGATATGTTATTGGAGACGTTGGCTGCGGTCCGAACTATTGGCTTTGATTCAAGTAGAGGTAGTAGAAGAGCTTAATTAAATATAAAATTTCCGGCTCTATTTCGCAATCGAAGTTATGCCGTACGCCTAAGCCTAACTATAATCATCGTTGAGCCCCCATTGGAATATTTGCTACGTCCGACTTTCGTAAGCAACTAAAACACAAGTGATGGCAATTGTCCTTGTGAGTAGATAAGTAAAGCGTCTCAAAAGGGATCACATATCTCTATTAGCTGCTTAAGATTCCTAAAGCTCGAACTTCCCTAGCTAAATATGGAATTCTCGTTTGTCATTGCTTAGAAATATCCTACCGTAAGTGTGCTGGTAAGGACGAATGGTTTAGAGTTATTGGTGATTAGACCCTGCAAACACTATGAGGAATTAGGCACTGACAGGCGATATAAATTTAGTTTAATTTTTGTACCAGACACAGTAAAGTGATCTTCTTAGTCTACCATAGATGTATGTGCGAAAATAGTGATCGCACTGTACATCATAGTGATGATTTTCCTCCTGGCTTGGCATGTCTGTCGGTTGAAAACGAAAATGTTATATGAATACGTAAAAAGCGCTGCACATCGAATATATTAACAAATCAAGTCTACCTATCTAATCTGTATATACATATTGCTTTAAGCAGCTAATTGAATAATTTGTTAAAACTATCACTGCTTAAAGATCAAAGTCGCACACGTGACTTGAACCCCTAAAGCTATCACCATTAAACAGACTCCTTCTGCTTTACGAATACCTGATATTTAGATTAGATTTCCAAAATTTTGAAGCCTCTGGGGATAGTTGATCAAGATTCTGATTTTGAGCAGCCAACCCGCTGGAAGCTGGCAATGCGGGACGCCGTATTCCCCCTATTTAGAGGCTTGCCGAGAGATATCCGATTGCACATGTACGACCACGCATTTCCGCGGCGCCTGCTTTACTTATGTGCTGAATCTTTTTATATATATCACTCTGGAGGCCGGGGACTACCTAGTTAAAGACCCACTGGGTCCGTCCGCCGCCGCACAGACGTGGTCGCGAAGCCTAGCACTTTGCTGGGACCCAGTAGACTCGGTACCGGAGGATATTGCTAAGACCCTGGTCTTAGACATCGTCGTCCTGCGGCCTGTGCAATGCGCGGAAAGACCCGGATCGACAGGGTCGTGCATGCACTGCGGCCGTTCGCGAAGATAGACGAGACGGTTGTCGTACGGCCTTTGCCCGGCGTGAGCGGACATTGATGCCTATACCACACGAGCAACACCAAAGCCCACTGGTACGCGAACGAGCCGCAGGTTGGCTCTACCGCGACCCGGAAGCATTACACAGACCAGGGTGATGTCTCCAAATTCGATGCTCTTAATATGTGGCTGCGCGTCGCGCATTACCTGCTCAAAGAGTTCCTGATTGGCGGGGGTGGCGGTCGTACGTATGTATAACTGGTATCGCGAGTGGCAATAGAAGAATTTATTTTATATGTGCATCATTATCACCAGGATGCGACTTGTTCCTAGATGTAGGTAAAGTCCGACGTGCATTTCTCCCTTCGCATTCCCTCCCCTTTATCATCGCTACTCGCATTTTCCATCTTTCCTCTTCTGAACTAGGTTCCTAAGGACCTATCACCTAGCGAACGCATTTACACACCCTAGTACCGCAATAAAGGACGTTGTCCGTGTGCAACGTCCCGTTGCCATTGCATCCGGCGTGGTAGTTAGTCTCGCACCATCTCGTCGTGTTGGGTGAGTGGCAATCGAGCCTGTAGGCGGTTGGTTCTTCTGCCTGGAAACGACGCTGGTGTGGCGCGGCGACGATGCAGGCGCTTAGCGCAAGAAGGAAGATGAAGATCTAGAGAAAGGATCTATTACTATCTGTCCATTAGGGTGCCTTAGGTGTTTTGTAGATAGAATTTCGTTACCTTCATGGTATCGAGTACCCGGTTTTGTCCGAGTCAAATATCAATGATGTTCAGTAATCTTTGGTGGCTGGAAGAATATCACCTTCCGTATAAGATGTTAACGCAAGTTGTGACTTGACATTGCGGAAATAAAATGACGTTTGGGCCGTTTATTTATACGAAGTTTTACTACATGTGGTACGAGAAATAGAAACAAACGTGTAAGCTACGCAAACTTCGGGAAGTTAAATACGCAGGAACTAGGCCGAGTAGCAACATGTAAATTTGAGAAGGAAACAGGGACATAATTATTCCTACATACACACAGGCTAATAGCCACATCATCATTCCCGTGAACATAACGAAAACCTAACAACCCAAGCAAACTTTGAAAGAAATCCTATCGTAATTTCCTCAACCTAACTTACGGTAAATCCACCTCGTTTGGACTTCTGCCTAGTAGGCCGCTGCCTATCAGCATTTCCAGGAGGCTGAGACTCGGTGCTGGAGTCATCTTCATCCTCGTCCACGGGGTGCAATTCAGACTCGTCGTATTCTATTACAATGTGCTCTTCATCATCTTGAACCTCTGCTGAAGGATCGTAGTTCCCTAGATCCATCATGTCTTCGGCTACATCTACCTCTTCGTCGTCGGCTTGGACTGTTCCTACGGGTACTAAGCCCTGACTACGTCGAGTAGTATCCGCACGCCGGAAAAAAGGACTCTCCTCGGTTAATGGTTTTCCACTGCTCAAGAACCCCATGGGGGTATGCGTAAAATCCTGCCCGCGTCGCCGAACAGCTAAGTATTCCTGAGTGAACGTGTAAGGCTTCGATGTAAGGGTCGAAGCGAAGCGCTTGGGCTTCAACAGCTTCTCATTTAGCGGACTTTCGACAGCTTTGTGTACTTCGTTTGAGTTTGGAGACGTCGCCACACTGGACTTTTCAGTGGTAGAAGTTGTCTGTTGCTCGGTGGTATCCGTTTCTGAGCTGTCAAACTCATCAATCCCAGGCTTAGATACATCTATGCCAAGCATCCTACAGATACTATCGTACTCGGAGAACTCGAAGTATAGCCTTCCGGCGAAGAATCCAAGCTCAGTAGTGAGCCATTCCGAGGCCTTCCAGTCCGGAGGAAGAGGTGGCATAGAATAGAAGTTTAGCTTATTGAAATGCATCATCCGTCGAGTAACAGGGGCTGCATATGTTAGAAGACGAGTTGGGCATCCCTGTTTCTCTTTCTCTATTTCTTGGATGATCTGGATCAAATGCTCAGCTTCCTCGGGCGTGACAATGATGGCTGCTTCTGGAGAAGTCGCATAAAGAACCCACTGTACAGGGCGCTATGTTCAAGAATTAGCGGTAATACTAACAAAATGAAAGAATAAGGGAGTATTACCAAGAAATTGTCGTTCGCCGCTTCAAAGACCAACTTAACCGTCCGTTCGAATTCGCTCGAAACAAACAGCTGGGAGGAGCTGACTTCGTGGTTTACCTTATGCTTCCTGCCAAGCGCAGTCCTCGCAAGAGCTCTCATGACATGAACGAATATGTCTGACCCGGCAGGAATCCTGGCTGTCCTGGCAAAAGTCTCCAGGTCCCTGTGGAGCCCAGGGAATTTGAGAGGCGTGTACGACATGGGCTTTTTGACTTGGCGTACCGCCTCGACCTCAATCTCGGTCTCTCGCTCCTGTTCAACCTCTTGTAGGGCCGAAGCATGAACAGCCTGACCCGTATCCTGGAAGTTTTTCTTGCGAGATTCGAGTTCCTTAACGAAGCTTGCAATTTTGGCATTTGATTTCGCGGATGCATTTGCCTTTGATCTAGATTGAGCACCGTAAAGCTGCTGCAGGGTTTGTCGTTCCTTATGCTTAACAGCATCAATGAACGCTGTCCTATCCTCGTCATTAACTAGGAAGTCTGGAAAATCTTCCGCTGCCTGCATTCGGTTACAGAAATCTGTCCCTTGGGAGTAGAATAGCGGCTGTAGTTGCTCAATTCCATCACAGGTATTGTTGATGAGCCAGCGGATCCTACTACCGAGTTAGTTCTGTTTAATAATATGGGGAGAGAGCACGGGTTTTTATATGGTAGGAAGCAAGTCAAACCTACACGTCGTATGAATCAACTCGCTGGCTATCCCTTTTATTGCATAGGTCTCGAATACTCTGGTTAACTTCAGGGGGCGCAAAAAATATGACAGATTGTGTAGTTCCGAGTTGTCGTAATCGCATCGCAGCTAAGTAGTTATCATTAGTTACAATTTTCTAAATAAATTGAAATTCTAGAGGCCCTACCCTGCACAGTATGGTCTTTCGTCTGGCCTAAGCCAAGGGTGAGAGCAGCGCGAGCTTTTGGACCGAACTTGAGGTCGGTTCCCCGTGTATGAGCCTGTGGAAAGAATGCATTTAGATGATGTATCTAATGTTTGGTATAGTTGTAAACGTACCTCGTCAAGATATACAAGTACCTCATCAAGGTTGTCTGCATAGGGCGAGGCAAGTAATGGGGTCCTCGTATTCTGCTTAGAAAGGATGAATGGGCTATCTCCATCGAAATAAAGTGCAGCAGCAGCCCTTCCATCTATTTTTAGCCAGTTCTCGGCTAACTCCTTATTGGACTGTTCGAGGATTTGGGCTCCAGCATCGATCAAGATACGGATGCCGTTATCGAACTTTCTAAGCATATGCAAGAATGAGATCTCGCTGAGACGCTTCTGATTATGATCAGCCATGACAACATACTTCCTTGACCGTTGCTGCAGGAGATACGTGAGTACTTCTGCGTTCGTATGCGACAATGAGGGTAAGTCGTCTTGTTTGATAGTAAGGGGTAGAAGTGACTTGATGTCGTTTGTGCCTGTTATATAAAATATGTTAGTACCTAGAACAATCTCATCACTTCGGTAAAACCAACAGAATCGAGAAGGAGGAAATAATAAGGATATGAGACTTACCGGAGAAACCAGTTGTAAGTCCTCGTGACTTGCTTAACGACGTATTCTTGGCCGATGTATCAGATTGCGCGTGGGAGAAAAGAGGGATGTCCCACCCATTCGACTGCAAGCGAAGTTTGAATTGCTTCGCATGCGGTGGGAAAACAAAATTGTTCATAAAGTAGTCGATCACGGGAACCTTGAACCGAACACAACTCCAGATCTGACTTATTTGCTGAGAGTCGTCAACGTTGATCGAGTGCCAGTCCCTCAAATAACCCGGGAAACCCTCATCTTCAGTCCATTTGTCGTATTCAGAAGCGGGATCGTCTGATTTTAAGACAGCTTCTAGGGCTTGGCGGGTTTGTGATAGATTAATACCGCAGTAATAAAAAGCCAATGCAGTCAATAGGATGGCCACCTGTCCCACATTAGTACTTATAAAATGACTTTATAAAGCTTTTGTATGTCTGCCGGTAGTGTAGTAGCTAAAAATTAGTGAATGTAACTCACATCGACATGTCCAAATTCTGATTGCTCGCTTGGAACCCCCTTTGCGTGGAAAGGAACCGCCACAGGGTCCCTGGAGGGATGCAACCCGTATTGGACTCCGTACCGTTTTTTGAGTGCCATAATTAGAATGCGATGAACGAAAAGCCCTCGTAGTAGATACACTGTCTGCCGGATATGTGGACGATCTGGGTATAAACGGTTGATGCGATCCAAACTGGAAGGACGAACCTTGCCGCCAGAGAGAAACTCTTTGATGGCTAGACGATCGGCCGGGTCGATTGTGTCTATTGGTAGAATACCTCTGGTACCACGGCAAACATCGAATCTGAGCCGCTTGATCATTTCCTCCTCAACATCTGGCCGGAGGAAGAAAACAAAAGGGAAACCCCCGTGCGAACGTCTTACAACTTCGACTGATTGGGGAAAGCTGGTAGCAAGATCGTACAGATGCATATCCATCAGGGCCAAAACCTGCTCAACTACAACCCAACGATGTGGATGTCCATCGACAGACATTTGAGACCCAGATGGGTAGATTAGTTGTGTCTTCACCGCTAATGTATGGTCGCTCTCATCCAGCACGTCCCGGGCACAGGATTGCAACCACTTTTGCACGCGAACCATCATACTAGCTTCGGGAATCCGTTGATCTAGAACACGCTGAAGGCCGCTTAGCATGAATGACATTTGGTGCTCAGGAAGGCAGAGCATCACTCCACGTTTTCTCTGAATGTCGCGATGTATCCTATGGAATAACTTGATATGATCTTCTTTGGTTGGTGTCTTTCGAGAAAATGGTACGTGGCTGATCTCTCTACCAACAAGTCCACCTAAGCGCCCATGGAGTAGCTGCGCTGTTTGATGTAGAAGAGCTTTGGGCACGGAAACTCGCACAAGGTTCTTGCTGTCAGCGAGCAGCACTGCAACCATCGGGATGATACAAGATGTCTTCCCCTGGCCCATGTTCAACTGAAGAACACTATTTGCTTGAGATTCCGGTGCGATTATTGCTAACGCAACTTCGACTTGAGTTTCACGAATAAGTAGGTTGGACTCAACCTCCAACAATAGCCAGTCAGGGTACTCCTCGACGCGCCAGTTACGATGCCCCACGTTTTGTCTCTCTTCTTCGTAGCGAGCGTTTTCTTTCGAACGCTGATACGATTGCATTCGCATCTTTCGTTGCAAGTTTGTAATCGATAAGGCAAAGTGAAGAATCCATTCCTTCATGCCACTTCCAAATAGGCGCTTCGTGGTCGTTCGGAGCTGTTCGAGTATAGTGATTGGAGTAATAGCAGGCCACAATTGTCCCTGTTGGAGCCACCAAATCTGCCTCCTAGAGTAAGTATCACTCGGCAGCTCTATGGCTGATTTGATGTCCCCGAGGCATCTTTTTACATTTTCCTGAAGATAAGATAATGTATACTCACTGTGGGAAGACGATGCCAAGCGTGGTGCGGTAGGCGTGCGACGGATATGAAACGCATTTAGACTTTCTTTTAGATCGCTGGCATACCTCTGTTGGATGATTGATTTTGATTCGGAAAAGGTTCCAATAATCTGATCCAACTCACACGAAGCTCCGGGATCTTGAAGACGACCATACGAAGGTACTTCAAATTGTG